AGACTTCACCTCTGCCAGTCTGAGAGGTGACTCGTGTGTCCTGTAAGGAACTTAGTTTTGCATCTGGAGGAGGGAATTGTTTCAGAAGCAAAAACTCCCCAAGTCCCAAGTGCCAGCTGCTTGTCGACCCTCCATGAGTCCAGATCGCACCTCTGTGTGAATTAGAAAAAGGCCCTCCCCCACAGGACGTTGACCATCTGCTCGAAAACCATCATGATAACTACACACATCTGTGGTGACTCGGAGGCGACAAGCAGCCCTGGAGTCGTGGGAGGACAGCCCGCTCCGCCATGAGCGGCCCCCAGAGCCCCGGAAGCCTTGAGAGCACAGTGGTCCCTGGTAGTAACCGGACTGCCTGGAATTCACTCAGTCAAAGCCGCAGATACAGAGCAGCAATTCAGGCTGTTTGACAGTGGATCTCGAGGGCACTTGCTGGAGGGACGGCCTGGATAAGTGGGAGCTTCGTTATCCATGGTTTATGCACTTGGAACTCAGGTCCCAGGCAACTCTGATATTAGTGATTTGGCCAGTGGGCTCATTAAGCTCTTAAGAAAAGTGAGTCTAGTTAATGAATTAATGCAAGATGACATTTTACACACAGAGCAGAAAAGAGACCACGCACCACTGAGTTATGTAACATCATAATTTCTCGAGCAAATGTGATCGGCGCCCTTGCCTGCCAGAGTGGGCCGACCTCCCGCTCTCGGAGGCGTGAGTGAGACTCGGATCCAGAGGCATTTTCCGCCCCATTCATTAAGAGCTGCCTCTTGTATTCTTAAAACCTCCAGTGGTTATGTGGCAGTTAGTGTTTTGCAATCTCTGGGCCCATTTGTTCTCCTTGTGAAAATCCGTCCACTTTTTTCTTTTAAGAGATACATCTCTCTGGAAAGGAATGCACTCAGTTCTTCTCCTCTCCCTGACTCTGCCCCCTAAAAGGGGGCTCTCCCCGCCTGTACCTCTGGTCCAGAGGAGTTGGTGAGGACAATGGAGAGGATGAACAGGAAGAATTAGCATGAACTAGGCTGGGGTGATAAAGAATCCTGGAGGTGGGTACTGGTGATGGTTGCACAACCATGTGAATGGACTTCATGTGGCTGACCTGCACACCCAGAAATGGTTAAAGTGGTAAATTTTGTGTTACATGTCTATTTTACCACAATGAAAAAAGAAAAGAGAATCCTCTTGCGCTGTTGGGTAGGAATGCCAATCGGTGTTTTCACTATGGAAAATAGTATGGAGATTTCTCAGAAAATTAAGAAGAGAATTCCACTTCTGGGTATTTATCCAAAGAATACAAAAACACACTAATTCAAAAAGATATATGCATCCCTATGTTTATTGCAGCATTATTTACAGTAGGCAAGATGTGGAAATGACCCAAGTGCCCATCAACAGATGAATGGATAAAGAAGATGTGATACATGTACCCACACACACACACACAATGGAATATTACTCAGCCATAAAAAGATGAATTTTTCCATTTGCTACAACATACATGTACAACCCCATGAGGGTATTGTGCTAAGTCAGATGGAGAAAGACAAATACCATATGACTTCACTCATATGTGGAATGTAAAATACAAAGCAAACAAAATACGTAGATGCAAAGAACAGAGTCGGGGGGAGAAATGGATAAAGGGGGTCAGCTGTATGGTGACAGATGGAAAATGAATTTTTGGTGGTGAGCACACTGTAGCATATATAGAAGCTGAAATATAATATTGTACACCTGAAACACATAGTGTTGGAAACCAAGGTTTCTTCAATACGAGAAAGGAAGAAAGAGGGAAAGAGGGAGGAAGGGAGGGAGGGAGGAAGGATGAAAGGAAAGAAGGAAGAGAGGGAGGGAGGGAGGATTAGTATGAACTGAGTACAGACCCTTGCCGGGCCCTTTGCTCTCAGCACTTTGTGTGCATAGTGTGTTTTAACTACCCGCCCCCTTCCCCTATAATCCCAGGAGGTGGCTACTTACTCAGCACCACTGCCGTTTTGAAGAAGAGGCATCTGAAGCTCATGAAAGTTAAATAATTTGCTTGCACTGCTGCTGGAAGCGATGGTCCCAGGATTCGACCCCTCAACTCTTGCTGGAGATGCTAAACCTAAGAGGCTCTTTTCCTTTGAGCCTGAATTCTGTAACACGCACACACAGCTTTTAATTATTTAAATAAGCTGAGAGCAGGCAGAACTCCAGCAGAACCCCTGAGTGACAGCTAATTGTCTCCAGAAAAACCCAGCACTGCCTTTCTCCCATAACCGTCTGCAGCACACTTCTGCGTCTCGTCTGGGATCTCATTTACCTCTTTCTCATCATTGCAACAGTGACCAACGGGAACTTGGAGAGTCTTCATAACTTTCGGTCCAGGTTTGAGTGTGACTGGAAAGAAAAGTAACACAAAGCCTGCAGCTTGAGGGGAAAGATCTTTCTTTGTCTCAGAGTAGGATTATTTGGAGAATCGGGAACTATTTATATCAGGAAAGCAGAGGAAATCGTGTGTTTCATAGCACATGGGTTTTTTAAAAGATTTTTACTGAAGTGTAGTTGATTTACAATGTTGTATTAGTTTCAGGTGTACAGCAAAGTGATTCAGTTATATATATATATACATATATCTCCTTTTTCAGATTCTTTTCTATTATAGGTTATTATAAGATATTAAGTGTAGTTCCCTGTGCTATACAGTAGGACCTTGTTGCTTATCTGTTTTATATATAGTAGTGCATATATGTTAATCCCAAACTCCTAATTTATCTCTCCCCAGCCCCACTTTTCCCTTTGATAACCATAAGATAGTTTTCTATGTTTGTGAGTTTGTGTCTGTTTTGTAAGTTCATTTGTATCATTTTTAAGATTCTGCCTATAAGTGATACCATATGACATTTGTTCTTCTCTGACTTACTTCACTTAGTATGATCATCTCTGGATCCATCTGCGTTGCTGCAAATGGCATTATTTCATTTGTTTTCATGGCTGAGTAATATTCCATTATGTACATATCCCACATCTTCTTTATCCAGTCCTCTGTCAACAGACACAGGTTGCTTCCGTGTCTTGGCTATTGTAAATAGCATAGCACATGGATTTTGAAGGAGAAACATCTGGGTTCTAGTTCTGACTCCTCTGTGTGGTTCTTATGTGCACTGAGACGTTAATTCACGCCTGAAGCAATTTGCTCGAACTGAAAAACAGGAATAATAAACTAACCAGAACATCTACCTTACTAGGGTGTGTGAACACACAGATTTTTTTCATTGAGTTGTGTGTATTTATTGAGTGCTGACTATGGGCCAGACACCGTCCTACGCTGGAGACCGTGATGAACAGAGCAGGTGCACTTCTAGTGATGAGGGACGAGGGAAGGCTTAGCCCAGCCCAGGACCCAGGGCCCGCTGCCACTGCTCTGCCTCACGTCTACACACTGGCCGCTGTGGACCCACTAAAACCTCCTCGCTGCTTCCGAGGTTGAAGGAACACAGGGGTGGCCACAGGCTGGCTCACTTCGGCTGCGTGTAGATTATTCTTCCAGCTGGGCCACAGCGGTGGGGAGTTTGTGGCTCTTCTGTAAAGGAGAGGAGTCCCCCACTTTCAACAAGGAGGGGCCGCTCTGGTTTCCAGGCCAGCCTGGACCTGAGCACGGCTTCTAGGTGTGTCCTGCTGACTGGGAAGCCCCTTGCCAGAGTGTCTGGGTGCGGCTCATTAGTACATGTGGAGGCACTGGCAAGCTGAGGGCTGGGACGGGTACCAGGCTTCCGTCCGAGGGTCCGAGGAAATGCCCGCCGATCGCCTAGCCCGCCTTGTTAGGGGGCTGCCGGGCAGAGTGTTAGGGGCGCAGCTCTGAGTCAGACCACTGGGCCCAAGTGAGGCGCGGCTCCTTACCTCCTAACCCTGTGACCCTGGGAAGGGGATACAGCTTCTCCAGGCTTCCTTTCCTCACCTTAAAAAGAAGGCAGTTACAGTATGTATCTGATGGAGTTGCCAGGAGGCAGGGAGATGTGATAAAGACGTGTCCGTATGTCTCGAACACCCCCAGAGTATCAGCTTTTGTCGTAAGTGCTTGATAATTATTCACTCATTTCATGCTCACAACAGCTCAATGAGGTGGGGACTAATACCATCCCCATTTCACAGATGAGGCAGTTGCAGCACAGAGAGGTTGACCACTTCCCAGAGGGCACACAGCCAGTTAGTTGAGGAGATGGGGTTTGAACCTAGTCTGGCTCCAGAGTCCATGATTTTAGCCTGTGCTGTGCTGAATCTGTCTTGAAAGTGTGGCAAAGGGCCTGGGATAAAATGAGGATTTTGCTGACATAACGAACCCCAGGCACACACTAACCAGTGTTCCTCATGTGTGTTATATTATCAATTTCGAGAGAAATACTGATGTCCGCCACAGGAACTATCACTTCAGTTCTCTAGATATTATATTCCCCGGGGCTTTCTTTTAAACAACTTAATTGAGATATAATTGACATAACAGAATGTGCCCACTTTGTACAATTCAGTGAGTTTTAGTAAACGTATCAATTTGTGCAGCCATCACCATATCCAGTTTTAGAGCATTCCCATCAGCCCAGCACGATCCCTGGTGCCCATCCCCAGTGAGTCCCCATCCCCACCCCCAGCCCCAGGCAACCGTTCATTGACTTTCTGTCTCTATAAATTTGCCTCTCCTGGACATTGCATATAAATGGAAACACATAATATGTAGTCTTTTGTGTCTGGCTTATTTTGCTTAGCATAATGTTTTTGCAGTTCATCCATGTCATAGCATGCATCAGTGCTTTCTGTGGCCAAATGATATTCCATTGGATGGCCATCCCGCATTTTGTTTATCCGTTCACCCATCAGTGGACATTTGTGTGGTTTCCACTCTTCAGCTGTGGTGCATCGTGCTGCTACAAAGACCATTGGCGTGCACGTCCTGGGACTGATTTTGAGGCAGATGGGTGAGCCAGCTTGATAACCTCTCTCCTCCTCTCTCCTCTGGGGTTTCTCAGAACCAGGCAGCGGGCAGGTGTTTGTGACGTCGGAGAACCAGCTCGTGTACTACCCCAGCATCACCTACGCCATCATCGGCAGCTCCGTCATCTTCGTGCTGGTGGTGGCCCTGCTGGCGCTGGTCCTGCACCACCAGCGGAAGCGGAACAACCTCATGACGCTGCCGGTGCACCGGCTGCAGCACCCTGTGCTGCTGTCTCGCCTGGTGGTCCTGGACCACCCTCACCGCTGCAATGTCACCTACAACGTCAACAACGGCATCCAGTACGTAGCCAGCCAGGCCGAGCAGAACGCGTCGGAAGTGGGCTCCCCGCCCTCCTACTCAGAGGCCCTGCTGGACCAAAGGTGCGCGCCGGATGGGAGAGACGGCGAGGGGAGGGCATCCCATGCAGGAGTTGAGTATGCATGTGTGCACACACCTGGGCTCCTGGTCTTACCAAGAGCCTGACTTCAGCTGCTGAAGGCAGCAGCAGCATCTGACCTTTACTGAGTCCTTGCAGAACGATTCACATGTATCACCTTAACTTAATCCTCTCAGCGGCTCAGTGAGGGAGTTCCTCTCTTTGCCTTGGTTTTACAGACGAGGAAACTGAGGCTCTGGGATTTTAAGTTCTTCGTCTGAGAACGTACAGATAGATTCCTGGCCAGCTCAGAGCCCTGCTCCTCCCTGGTTACACCTCATAGACACATATTCAGGCCCCTGGCCAGCTCAGGGGCCTCGCCTGCTGCTGCAGAGTAGTGCCCGGTACACAGGAGAGATTTGGTTCCCATTTGAATGAATGAATGGATGAGTGAGTGAGTGAATGAATGTGTGAGTGAATAAGTTCCTTAACTTTGCTTGGCTTCATCTAGAAAATAAGAGGGGTGGGTGTGGAACAGAGCACTCTCAAGCTTTGTCAAGCAGTAGAACCCTCATTACAGGAGGAGCTGTACAAGAACCCCAACATACAAAGTCAAAAAACAGTGTTCTATAGTTGAAGAGGGTTGTGGACCTCAGTCCTGCCAGCTCAGCCTTCCTCTCTGCTTTGGTGACCCCCAGGGCATCCTGGAGAACCCACTCTGAAGTCCCAGGACTAGAGCCACCTAAGTCCCCTCTGGTGCTCAGGGTCCCCTGCCCTGCCAGCCCCCTGCCCCACATCCCTCTTCCGCTGAGCCCCGGACTCACCTGTGTGGCAGGAGGCATTTTGCAGGCGGTGTTCACAGGCTAACAGGGCTCCTCCTTCAACCCTTTCCAGTGGCAGCTCTTGTGTGATTTAATCTTCATTTTTACCTGCTCATGAGAGGTAAACAAAGCTCCAGGGGGCGGTGCTTAAGGACATCTTCCCAAATAAGTGTAAGAACACAAGACCTCACAGTGTAGAGCAAGGGGAACATTGTTGAATCTGGAGACAGAATGTCCAGGTTCAAATCCCAGCACTGCTTCTTACTAGTTGTTCGTGATCCTGGGCAAGCCCTTTCAAGCCCCCTGGCCTCAGTTTCCTCCCCAGTAGGGCTCCCTCCTAGCATGAAATAAGGCAATGGGTGTGACGTAGGTGGCACAGTGCCTGGCTCGCAGTAAGCCATAGCAAACGAGAGTTGGAAAGTAAAATGTCTTTTAGGTTCTTTCACTGTGAGCAAGGTCACTATTCCTCCCTCTGCAGACAGGGAGACTGAGGGTTCGAGAGGATGCCCTCTCACTTACCCAAGTCCTCACAGCCAGGCAGCGCAGGCTTTCAGAAGGAATCCCTGATTCTGTGGACGGTCAGAGGCGCCATCGAAACGCCAGGCTGGCCGCATCCCTGCCAAGCCTCTCAGGACGCGCTGCGGACGGGCTTGGTACCTCCAGCCGAGCCCACCCGAACGATGTGGTTCTGGCGCTGCCCAGTGGGCACAAGCCAGCCAGGGCACACTGACCTTTTTTTCCATTCCCTTTGTCTTGTTGCAAACCACTGGTTTTCGTAGACCTTGGATTGCCTTTCTCCTTGGAGGGGAAATTTCATTCCTGATGTCAGCAGCCTTTCAGAAACAGGCAGCAGTTGGCATTGCTGGCGGTGCCTGGGCTTCTAACGTGTTCTCTTCCCTCTCCTCTCCCACCCCGTCCTGCCTTCTGCTTTGCAGACCCGCATGGTACGACCTCCCTCCGCCACCCTACTCTTCGGACACCGAGTCCCTGAACCAAGCCGACCTGCCCCCTTACCGCTCCCGGTCCGGCAGTGCCGACAGCGCCAGCTCCCAGGCAGCCAGCAGCCTCCTGAGCGTGGAAGACACCCGCCACAGCCCGGGACAGCCCGGCCCGCCGGAGGGCACCACTGAGCCCAGGGACTCCGTGCCCAGCCAGGGCACCGAAGAAGTATAAAACCTAGTTATTCCAAAGTCCATGTGGGTTAATCTGCTCTGACTTGTTACCATCCTAACAACCTGTGCTCGTGGGAAGCTTCTCAGGGTGCCTCAAGGAGCGATTTAGGGTGTCAGCTGTCTCTCCTTTCCTCTCGCCCCCCCCCCAATTTCAGGGATGTTCTCTGGAGAGCGACCTGGCATTGTTCTGGCCTCTTGGTTGCCAGGATGTATGGTGCATCTTTTCTGGGCACGCTTACTCTGGGGCCCAGGATCACAGCCTCACTCTCCACATCATTCTTCTGTTACTGTCAGAATCTTGCTGTGTAGGTGGCGTAAATTTGCAAGTGGCAGGCTAGCGCTATATTTAGGTAGTCCTTGAGAAAGCAGTGTTTGTGCCATATTGGATGTTTAGAAGGATAGAGGACACTGGACCACATTCTCTGTGGGCTGCTACCTGATATCTCCGTTTGGGGATTTGTGTTGGATGATCCTACCAGGAGGCTGTCATTGGATGGCCACCCTGGCGAGAATCCAGCGGGAGCGTCAAAACCCACCTTGCCCTGGGATATACATTTGCTCTCGGGTCAGCAGAGGCAGGTGCCAAAGAAAACTGTTGCCCTGGGTAACGCCCTTCAGAAGTCAGCAGTGTCATTTTGGTTTTCTGAATGACTCTGAAACCATCTACTCTGGAGAGATTCCAGCTTTAAAAATTTCCCTGAGAATCCTCGTTTTGAGAGCTTTCTCCAGCATCTTGTATCATCAGCCTCATCCCAGAATAAGGCAGGGAGTCCTCGTCGTGAGTTTATTCGAGTTCTCAGCTCCTAAAATGCGGCCTGCCAAGAGCATGGGTCTCCTTTGGTCCTCAGTCCTGTCCTTGGTCTCTGGATTGTCACCCTCCCACTTGTGACCTGCCCGTAGCCAAGGGATGAGGACGAAACCTGAGTTGGCCAGACATCTGATCTGGGCCGTTTGTCCCCGTAAACCACGCCAGCCCGCCTCGCCCATTCTTGCAGCTTCATCTGTCACCTCCTAAGTCTCCCTAAGGCTCAGAAGCCGTTTTCCCTGTGCATTTGGCCTTGGGGACACTGTGGTTTCTAACTCATGTGAGAACCTGAGTCAGCACCTTCCACAAGAGCTCTCACTTCCTGGGCTGCCCTCATCCCCTCTTCCTAAGGCCCAGCACCTGGACTTAGAACTAGGGTTAGAGTCAGAGTGAAGATCAGGCCTCTCCGAATATCCCGTAGTTTCTCCTCTGAGAGACACAGACAATAAACAGTTTGGAGTCAAGATTTGCCATTCGGACTTTTTTTTTTTAAATCTCTTAGAAATGCATTTGAAACAGTGTGTTTGTTTTTTCCCTTCTAGTTAAGGGACTATTTATATGTGTATAGGAAAGCTGTCTTTTGTTTGTTTGTTTTTCCATTAGCGAGGTCCAAACAAAGATGCAGACGGAGATCACGCCTTTGTCCCGCTGAGCGCTGATAACAGGTTCCCCCAGACGGACCTGTGTGCCAGGCGTCTGTGTGTTGTTGCACTTTGAGTTATTATTTATCGAGTTCTTGAGGGCTGCAGAAAGAGGGGCGCCTTTCTCCCTCGGTTCACAGACTCTGTGTTTACGCTAGCTTTCCTCTTTCTCTGTGCCCTGCCAGCCACAGCACCTACCCCCTCGGGAAGTCATGGGTAGGAATGTAGGCGTTATTTGGCAAGAAGCCACACTGACTCCCGGCGGGGACAAAACTGGAACCAGGTGGAGCCACTTCGGGCCGCTGTCACCCATGCAGGGCTGCTTTCCACGTGTCCAGTAACCCCTCTGATGGTAATTCAGATGGAGCCTGCAGGAGAGGGGAGGAAGTGTCATTCAATGATCCTGTTCTGTAGACTTTTTTTTTTCTTTAACCAAATTCAAAGTATGTTACAAAAAAGCTAGCCACTTGGTGTTTTTTTTTTTAAGTCAAGAAAAGGAACCTAGTTGCTGACATCTTTCATTTTGAAAATCACGAGATGTTTTCTGAGTAATGCGATGAAGGAAGAACTTTTGATGGGAGCCGGAGCACGTTAGGAACGCCGGCTGAATGTTTCATCTCCTGTGAGTCAGAATGGCTTCGTTGCTTCCTTTGGTGGGTCCCTGCTTCTTTCTGGTGGAAGTTGTTGAGAGGAAAGGATTCTAATTTCAGTTAATTGTGCAGTGAACTAATCTCACACACTTTTCAGCTTCCAGGCAGCTTAGAAAAGACAAATGGTCTTAGTAGATAAGGAGAGCCTCTTAATGTTGTTTTTTAAAACAAACACAGGGACATTTTTATTATGGATTTGATTTTTTTTAATGGTTGTTTTTAAAAAGATATAAATAGGACACCAAAGCTGTAGGGTTTTTGTTTGGTTTGTTTTTTTCCCTCTACTCAAGATAGCAAATAAGTGGCCAGCAGTATTTTTTAACTCATTCCAACCAGGATTATTTTTTAATACGTTGCCTAAGTCTCTGCCAACCAGAAAACCTGCTCTGCTTTCTTTTCTCAAATGAGATCAACGAGTCCTTTTCATTTTAGCATTAAAATCGATCCACTGTGCTCAATCGCTCATCACCTGTCTTCAACTCCCTTGACATTGAAATTGACATTTTAAAAACATGCAACTAAGTGGTTAATAAATAGTGTGTGATGTTCAGAGTTGATGTAAACTGGAAAGGTTGTATGTGGTTGCTTTTGGGGTTTTGATTAGGTTTTGGTTTTGTTTTGTTTTTTTTAATTTTATACTTTCAAATAAACTTGCAGTTTCATTCTTTCTGTTGTGGTTCTTAACCCACTTCTCTATGGTGATATAAAGAGCAGACAGCCACGTTTGTCGTGGTTTCTGCAATGGATTTATGCCCTAATAAAATGAGGAAAAGGAACAATATGGATGGGACCTCAAAATGTGATGGGCATTTAAGGATTCCACAGCTGGTGTGGTTGGAGTTTGGAGGTAAAGTCATGGACACCAGGTAGTGTCAAGGGCCCTGGGGTGTCAGTTCAGAAGATGGACTTTAACTAGGCCCACTCTGCCCGTGGGCACTTCACTACGGCACTGAGAGAAAGGGGCAAGTGGCTGTGATAACTGAAACAGATTCCAACCACGTGTTCAGGGGCACGCTCTAACTCTGGCACAGGTGTGCTGCTAATTTGTTTGGAACCACGATGGCTCTGACTGGCCCCACCAGTGATGGGGATATCTTTGTCCTCTTATAAGTCTCATTTTATGCTGCAGGGACAGTTGCACAGGAGGTCAGGATCCCCAGAAGATTACCGCCACCCAGGAACAAAAGTAACCTTGGTCTTGATCAAAATTGAAATCTACGTGGGAATCAACACAAGACCTACAGAACCAAGATGTAGATCATGTATTGGTGCCTAGATGTGTCAAAAAGAAGACTCAGCTATCAGAGAGTGGTGTCCCAAGTATATGCCAGGTCATGTCCTGCCCCAAGTGGTCCAGCATAGACTCTCCCAAACAATATGCCCCAATGGCCTGTCAAGATACTAACTCCTTCACCTCTCAGCATACCATTTTTTATGGGTGCTAGGATGAGGAAACGATCCAGAAACACTAATCTAGAACCGAGATCAGTAAACTTTGTGTAAACAGTCAGATAGTGTTACTGCCTTTGCAGCCATATGGCTTCTGTCGCAACTTCCAGAGCAGCCACAGACAGTACAAAAATGAGTGGGTGTGGCTGTGTTCCAATAACTATTTGTAAAAGTAGGCAATGGGCTGGATCTGGCTGGTGGTTTAATCATTTGCCAACCCCTGACCTAGAGGATCACTCCCACATTGTGTTCATGGAGCCAAAGCTAGGGATATTGTAGGGGAAAAAAAAAGCTGTGTTAATGTCTAGCCTGGAATATTGGAACCCTCAAAATGGCACCAACCTCCAAAAAATTAAACATGGAAGAACTTAGAAAGCAGGCAATTCAAGGACCTGTGAAATTCATTTTAATTGACCCTGTTGGCTGTTTTCCAGTGAATAAGGAAAGACAGGATTGAGAAGAGTAGAGACTTTCCCAGGGAGGTCCTCAAACTTTGACTCAACACTTGGGTTGAATGCAAAGGTCTTAGTCAAAAAACTACTCTCAGTAGAGGTTCTCTGAGATGATAAGTTAACACCACTGTCTTTTAGAGGAAAGTTCAGGGGGATGGATGGTCTGGGAGGGAATGTCCATCTTCTCCATTTCGCTTGCCACCCTCAGACAAGGCAGTAGATTCAAAGAATAAACTATGTAAGAAGGAAGGAGCCGCAGTGGCTGCCGTGAGAGGGTGATAAGTGTGCCGAAGGGAAAGAAACGCACCCCATGAGACCTTCCGGAGAAATGTCCGTTCAGTGAGAAAATACACCGGCTCCCTTGGCATCCTATAGTTAAACAGGTGAATGGGAACATTAAGAGAACCCCCAGCTGTGATTCCACTCAGATGAGCGTAATTGCGTTAAAATTTGGAAGATGTATTAGCTAATGCAACCACGTCCAAGGGAATGGAACTGTTGGTTTGGGGCAGGGCTGAATACAGTTGTTTAACAGCTGTCATTAGGAATCTGTAACTTTTGAGTCCGCTTTACCCAGTGTTGACTTTAGCTTTACAAAATGCCATGGGGGAAGGGAGGTTAAAGCTCAAGTGGAAGAGCCTGTGCTTAGCATGCATGAGGTTCTGGGTTCAGTCCCCAGTACCTCCTCTAAGAATAAACAAATAAGTAAATAAACCTAATTACCTTCTCCCACCAAAAAAAAAAAGGAAGGAAGGAGTGAGAGAGAAAGAAAGAAAGGAAGGGAGAGAAAGAAAGAAAGAAAATGTGGTGGGAAAGGGTCCCAGAAGGTCCAGGTTCATGATCTAAGAAAAAGAGATTCTCTCTCAGAACTAACAGGAACTCCTTTCAATGGACACGATGGTCATTCTTGGTCATGTGGGCATTATTGTCGGTGGGGACCAGTCTCGATTTACAGCCCCACCTGAATTACGTGGAGTCGGGGAGGGACAATGCTTACATGGAAGGGGCTGGTGGTATAGAGCCTCACCAAGGAATAGGACCTACACCTGGCTGGCACAGCTTCTAATATACATGAGAAAATGGCATACAACTACAAGCTTTAGGCAACACTGTTGCTGGCGAATAGGTTCTTGCCTCCCGCAGGAAACAATTCAAGAGAGAGGCATAGTAAAGTGAAAGCAGGTTTATTTAGAGAGATACACACTCCACAAGACAAGAGTGCAGTCCGTCTGACTCAGAAGAGAAGCTTAGGAGATGCACACTCCATAGACAGAATGTGGGCTGTCTCAAAAGGTGAGAAGGAGAGAGACAGAAAGGTGTGGGGTGTTCAGTTTAAAGTAAAAGACACACACTCCATAGACAGAGTGTGGATGATACTGAGGGAGTCCTAGACCAAAGAAGCGAATAGGAACTCAGGAAGGAGCTTTGGGGAGTATATTCAAAAATGAAAACTTAATTTGGACCAAAGTCCATGATTATCCATGAGTCAAGAGGTGACTCGGTTTAAGAAATAACACACTGGAATGTGCAGAACAGCGCCACTGAAGTGCTGCTTGAACACGTGCCCACCAGGTGACCCTGCGTCAAGCGTTACTCTTTTGTGAACGAACTGGAGCCAGTCCTTCTTCTTCAAGTGTGTTCCAAGCGTGCTGGTCTGTGAATCAGCTAAGGGCGCACAGGTGTGCCTAGAGACTTCCTAGGACCACAGACCCTGTTTGGAGAGGATGGCACCTCCGATTCAGAGATGAGGAACTGACATCTCTCTCAAATAAGGAAATGAGTTTTAGAGAGATTATAGAAAGAGAAGGTGTTGGCTTCTTCATAAGTGAAAAATAAACTGTTTAAATAACTCATCCCTCCTGTTACAATCAGTTGCCAGGAAGTGACCGAATGTGTGTTTGTCTTGACCCAGTTGCTGTCTTGGCTTAGCTCTAATAAGTGTCTCTTCCATGAAAATGATGTTTGTGTTTGCCGGGTGTATCAGCTGGGATCAGTCTGATTATAGGAATAAGGGGTTGAATACGGAAATTAGAGCTGATGTAGGAAAAGCTGGCAGCGTGATGGCCTGGAAGTCTATGGACAGAGCCAATAATGACACCAATAATGACACCAGCCTGAGCTTGGGACAGGTGGAGAACCAAGAGCATGCAAGGGAGACCAAGAAGGCACTAGAATAAGTCCAAGATGGTACCTCAGTGACTTACCTCATAGAGAGGACTGCGAAGTCACGTGGCTGATCACCCAAGTCCAGAATAATGACTCTGCTGCACTCCTGCCTTCAAATCTCACATGAGCTCCCTTCCTGACACGGCCGCCCCTGCAGTGATTCCAGGAAGCATGGTTCCCAGCCTGTGATGAAGGTGGGGCTGTGAGGCATCCAGCCCACCCAGGGACCATGGTCTTGGACCAGAACAGACACTCTCTCTTCCTGGTGGCAAGATTCTTGTTATACAGCAAATTGGACTCAACGAGTGTTGGACCTTAATTTCTTTGTATTTAATGAGAAAGGGGAATTTCGTTGTCGACTTTTAATTTTTCTAGGCATATCCAATAATCGGAGTTCATAGTTTTCAAAACGGGGATGATTCTATTATGTTGCTTAGTATAATCTCTGATCAGCCATTTGGACAACTTGGGAAGTAGAAAGGAATGGCTTTATTGTTACTTTTCTTAATGATCTGAATGAACTTTCTACTGCCCATCGTTGGCCACAGGGAGACATAAACGGACAGTTGTGGGTGTTGGGTGAGCAACTTCAGGAAGACGGGAGGAGTGAGATGCTCGACTCCTTCCCTGAGAAAAACGGCCAGTGGGCTGACCACAGGACTGGCTGTGAAGCCAAATGAGTCAGAAAAGACATTGGAAAAGTGTAACTTCTGGACCCTTCCGTGGTTTCCCTCTCTCCTGCTTCCTGACACCTTCTCACAGGAGCAGATTTACTAGGTTAGAGTCAAATCACATGAGAATATCAGTTGGGTCACATCAACCCCGAGAGCAGATCACTCCAACAGGGAACCAGCATTTCAGAGATTCCAGGAGGAGGAGTCAGCCTTGAGAAGAGGCTGCACACCCGTTCTCCCTCCTACCCTTTCCCTCCCTTCCTCTCCCTCCTCTTGGTCCCTCTCTCCCCGCCCATCCCTCCCCACTGTGTCCTCTCTGTCACTCTCGGTTCCCTGGTTAATGAGTTTAGAGACACAGCATGTCATGCTCCTTGGACAAGCAGGGTGGCTGAGTGCCCGCGGAGTTTAATCTGAAGCTCTAGACTGGGAAGCAGAACATTACGTAATAGGAGACTCTCATTTTGATTTTAGTTAACAGCTATAGTTTTCTTACCAGCCTTTACTGGGGAGACGTATCCAGGACTTGGAAAATTTTCTGGGCATCTGCTGCTAAAACTGACATCTTGATGTTCTCTTTGGCCCTTGCCGCTGAGTTTGCAAACCAGCAGCCCCCAGGGGTGCGGTGAACCCAGAGAGAGATTTCAGTCGGCTTGTAGACTCTTCTCCTGCAGTATCTGAATCTGTGGCCAACGATTACCGTTCAGGAGATTTCACATAAATATCGGGACGTCTGGCTTCTTTTAAAGAACCGGGAGCTAGAGCAGCGTGGGGCTCCCTGCCCACATGTCGAGCGTGCCAGAGCTGAGGAGCAGCTGTGCTGTTCACACGGAGCATCTCTTCCTCGGGGCATCACACCCACCCCTTCTCCTTGCTGTCTCCCATCCAACCCGTGGCACTGGCTGAACCGCTTGCTCGGCCCCCGTGCC